TTACACAATGAGGCCTATTTAAGAAGGACTGCACCATGATCTTGTCTGTCAGTCAAGACTATAACCTAGTTGCCATTCCTGAGTCAACACTCTCTCTTGCACGTTCAGCCACATCCAAATCTTGCCATTTCTTCTTGCAGAACTTCCATAAAATCTGGCCTTCCCTTTCCAAACCTACAGTTAAAAATTATCGAAGCCACAGTGGCTGAACTATTTCCTGGTTTCCCCCCCACCCCCTTTATATCCACTCATCAGCTTACTGCAACAATCAGTTCCCTGGGTCAACACTTGGGCATCATCTCCTCCCCATCCTTCTTCCCATTTACATCCAACCATTGGCTCCCCCTTCTCCACTACATCACACAGCCACTTACCTTTATTCATAAGAACTTTCACAGCCTAAAATCCCTTTCCACCTATCTCCTACGGGCTGTAGAGACACTAACTTCTGCCTCTATTCTGGCAATGACTCCAACCTTGATTGCCCATTTGTTACATTTTCTAGCAAACTGCTGTTTTTTTCTTATATTTTTTTTCACTCTCCATTAAAAAAGCTCCACAGTAAACATCTAGAAACAAGATTTTAAGGAGAAACAAAACCATATTCTCTGCAAAATGCCTACAAAAACACTTAATGATTAAATGGTTGATCTACTGTGATTTCCAGCATGCATCATTTACTTTTGCTGCATTGGTTATTTCTACATCATATTATTCTAAGCCTGTAAGCTCTTCAGGTCAGAGATCTGTTCAGTTTTTGCACAGAGCTTAGTATAATGGCCTTGTATGAAACTTCTAGGCCAACGATTCTCAACAAGTTTAGATGTAAGGCACCCTGTAGAAAATTTCAGCTCTTACTATTTTTCACTCTTATTTTTTACTATGGAAAAATAACACAGCAGTTCTTCTGTTGCAAAGAGCTTATATAGACTGGAACAGGTCACATGATTTTATGAATTACATTTGTACACCTACCAGTGCTAACATTGTGTGACATCCTGAACTGCCTCTGAAAGGATCTCATAGCACCTTGGTTGAGAATCATAGTCCTAGGCATTATTGAATACAAATTAAAAGGTAGGTTTAAGAGGGAAAACAGCAACAAAATGCAAAGATCCTGAAAGCCCAGCACACGACTCCCCCTTCCCCACCCCCATCCATCACAACTTTTCCACATCATTGGGAAAAGCCCAAACAGTATGCTTTCAAATTTGACAGCCTAAACACAAGCAACAGGCAAAGCACTAGGCAGGTTTTAGTAAATCACATATTTATTCTATTCATTTGTTTCTTGAAACAGGTCTGACAGTTTCTTCCACTCATAATTTTGTGCATTGCAATGGCCTATCTTCATCTGAAATTTATCCCAAAATGCTGAGGCTCTGAATCATCATAATATGCCCTTATATGCAGTTCAGTGCTTTCACTTATACAGTAACCCAGTTAACTTAAACTGCATAGTGGTGATGTAGTTTCTCTGGAATTTAAATTCAACATCCTTCTTTGCTATTTGCTGGCAACTAGTTGTTTGTGTTCTGTCTTAATTTACTTTAAAACTAGTTTCAGGCATCATGCAACAAGCTCTGGGCTTAATTTGGGCTTCCCTAGGGAATTTCACTACCTACTTAGTCTACTTGGTTGTACTGCAGAATTGTCACCCAGCTATAGCTCAGTTTTAAGTTTGCCAGACCTGGAAAATAATGTTTTGTATTCAAAAGTGTATGTCATTTTATCCTAACTATACAGTTGGTCCAAAAAAGTGTATTAGCAGAAATCTGTTGCCTCTTACATAATTTGTGGACAACCACAGCTATAACATCATTCTAACACTATCAGAATTTTTTTTAGCCGTTTTCTTAAGTTCTGATTTGAACCTCCGCAACCATCACATTCACATGGCCTGCAAGGGCTTTTTCTCATTTATCTATAAGTTACAAAAACTAACTTGTAATGAATATTCCCCCAGGTCTCTACTCTTGTGTCTGAGTTTATTTAGTCCAGCATAGTCTCATTATCTCAACCCTGTATGTTCAAGATCCTGTGTGTGTAACATGCAACATAAGTCATTAGATGATTCTCTGCATGCTTCAATTCTTCTATATGGATTTCTTAAAATTTATGAAATTGTCAGATTCTATACATTTTTTAGGCAAAATCTTTTAGGACCATTTTTACCTCCCAATAAGCCAATGTGAAATGTTAGCGCATGCTTTCCTTTTTGATTAGCTGCTTAATACCTGCCTTCACAATTATGGCATTTTGGCAGAAATCCTGCGGTTTTTTCCATGCATTAAATTTGACCCTGGTGCTCTGGTAGTGGAGAATAGTTTTAAAGTCAGGAATAAACATTGCAGTTGCTTGCAATAATGTATTTACACAGGCCAGTTTCAGCATAATGTTAATAGAAACTCTGTTTCACGCATTAATGAATAAGTCACATGAATGAACATCAAGTACAAGAAGGTCAAATTCATGTTACAGCTCAAAGATATGCATTAGATCCTGTTCCATCAGTAAATATTTAACTTTTCTATACTTACAAGCATTTGTCTCCATAATTATACCAATATCTTGATATATATTATCAATATACTATGTTAGGTACATAAAGAAAGCCATTTAGTCAAGGCACCCCAACATTGTTTTTTGTTCATTCATTTGTCAGTATAGCATGAAAGAACAAGTTATACTGGAAAAAAAACACTCCGCTAGTATAACTGGGTCTACAGTAGATCTTTTGTGTAGTTTTGTTGATGACAAGGTGTGGAAAAGATCACATCCTTGATCGAGAGACCTGTGCTGGCCAAACTTTCAAGTACATATGAAGCCACATCACAAGTTCTGTTTTACTGGCATCAGGTTGGTCTCTTACAAGGGGCCAGAAATAAGACAAATTAATATTATTTTGTAGTTTCAGGTTTTATTTCAGTGTTCCAAAACAAACTGTAAGTTAGTGGTAATCTTGCAGTGCTTTCCACAATATTGCAAACATAATTATTATACTTGTATAAAACCCAAACATTCTGTGCCCTGCAAAAAACTTGTCAGGCTTTTACAAATGTTTAAATATCTCAATTTAACTGGCAATAAATTCACTTCTGGTTAAAGAGAGAGTCCAGTCTAGACGTGCCTGCAGGCCCTCAGACAAAAGTTGACTTTCCTGCTTACTGCATTCACACATTTTACTCCAGTTCTTCACAACAAAAGAGGTGTGGTGTTATCTTAAGCTAATTAAATTCATTTGAGGAAGTTTCCACATGTTTGATAGGCTTTAGTTCAATATGCTACTTCATGTGAAAAAAATTCTCTTGCCTTCACTAGGACTGACCTCAATTAATGATGTAATATCCTGTAATAGCCAGGGACTGAACTCCACAACTCAAAGTCTCTTCCAGTTCTGTGCTCCTAAATAAGCACACCTTTCTTGCAAAGCTGCACATTCTCCTGAAATTTAAGACTATATATGAATCCATTTTAGAACCTATTGCTTCTATTGCTGGCTAACAGTCATATTCTTGAAAGCTGGAAGAAACTTGCTCATGTATTCTCTCAAGCAAGAGAGACTTGCTAAACCCTGTGCTGCACTCAGTGGCAGAGAGTATAGTGCTGCAAGTAGTCCACTTTGTTGAAGGAGTGGTTGGAAAAGGAGTATTATAACTTCCTAGCACTTTTTGCTAACCTGCTCCAAAGAAACATGCCTTAGCAACCTAGATTCCAATAACAAGAGCTTCTCCTTAGACCTCGGTTTTTATTTATAATTGTATACAATATGCTGATATAATTCCATGGAGTCATGTCACTGGTCTTTACAGAACTATTAATATGGTGGCCATCCACAGTATTCACCATTTTTTTTCCTGAAACAGCATGTTTCTTTCTTCGAGGGGGAAGGAGGAGGGAGAGTGCTACTTGTGTTAGATGTATCCAGAGCTTTACGCTATTAGGAACCAAACAAAACCCTTCAGACTCTTTACCCCTTCTTTGTGACCCTATTGGGTGCATTGAAAAAGCCTGATGACTTTATCCCAACTACTTTCAAAGTGACTTATTAAATGTATCCTTACCTGTTGCCCATTGGCTGGTGAACCTCTCCCTGAAAGCATCTAAATTTTGCTTCACTTGTGAGCAATCAGTATCACTGGCCTGCTTCAGAAATACATTTTCAAAGATTTTTAAAGCAACTACTTAATGGACACCAGTCAGTGTCTCTAAAACATTAAACCCTTGAAAGAATAGCCAGAGTAGATGCCAAGCCTGGAAGAGTATTAATTTCAGTCCTGATTCAATTGAGCTGCATCTCCGTCAACCCATCATCAAGTGTGGATACTTCTTGGCAGCCACCTGAAGTGGGATCCATGCTGACACACAGTGGTTTACCAGAGGAGGATGTCTTCATGGGGCCTATATTCCCAAGTTTTGTATTTAAGTTTTCAGCTACGAGGTTTGGAATTGCAAGGAAATTGAGGGTGGTCTCCCCCATGTCACCCTTCATGGCCTCACACAAGGGTAAGAGTTGCAAGTTCATGTATCACCCCAAGTAACACTGCTAAATACAAGTGTCCGACATGTATAAGGTCTACACACACTGTGGAATCAACATTGACTGTTGCATCTCAAAGAGTTGAAGTTATTGTATGGTAAGTAGGAGTGATGTTGTAGACATGATGGCCCAGGAAATTTGAGAAGCATGAATTATTATGGGTGATATCTTCCATTAGACCAAGTGCATGGCTGGGATAGACTTAAGTTTTCTTATAGGCTTAACAAAACAAGTTCTTAAGAACAAAGTGCTACACTTGAAAGCTTATTTAAGTCTATCCCAGCCATGCAGATATTCAGTAAAAGATATTACCCATAAAAATCCTTTGTCTCATGTTTGGTAACTGCTCAGTCTTTGCAGTCTCAGTATCTGGTCCTTAATGGGGGGAAAGAAAAATGAATCATGCAGAGCTTGAAACAAGTATATTCAGCTGATGTGTTCGGAAATTACTTCTTTTCAGCTATTGATCTCATAAATAATTTGCTGCAAGTGAAAATGAGAAAACGCTACAGTGTGGACAAAACATTAAGCCACCCGTGGTTGCAGGTAACACTATCGATTTCATGCTTTCTCCTTTCTACATATATATATGTATATACACACACACACACATTCTGTATGTGCACATTGTATTTATATCTTTAAATAGAGTATGGGTAATTTTGTGCCTTGTAATTTTCTTAAGCTTTTCTCTCTGCACAAATTTACTTACAGAATTGTAATTTATAGTAGCAGAGCCTCATAATATGAAGATTTTGTTGCATTATCAAACTTGCTACTGTCCAATAGATGAACCAATGAGAAATACTATCACCAAAACAAAACAAAAAAAGATTAGATGAGTCAAACTAGCTAAAAATATATATTTTTTGCTATATAGGCTCCTTGATGGGGTTTTTTTTGGTTTGTTTTTAATCTTGAAAAAGAATTCTTGTAGTTGATAGAATGACATGGACTTCAATGCGATTTAGAGCAGGTCTAATTCACTTATTTGTAAAGGTTATAATTCAATAGCAGGTCTCCTGATAGTAATCATTTCCACTGTTTCTTCAATAAGAACACAATATTACTATAATTTTTTTCTCTCCAAATAAAGCAAGTTCTCCAAGTTTTAAAGCAGCTGTTCCCAAACAACTTTAAACAATCATTTTTCAGATTAAATCTGGCTTGAGTAGTGCATAGCCACTGAATTTTATCAAGTTTCATTTTAGGAGAAGGCAGAAGTAGCATAAAAGGCTAGCCCAAAATTTCAACAATTGTTATAGTACTACACAAGGTACTGAAGTCCTTCAGCTAGCACTTAAATCTGCATTCAGGGCCTGATTCAGGGAGATCCTGAAAACCCTTCCACAAGAGCTGTGCATATAGGAACAGGCTTCATGGATGAGGTGTTATAAAACTGATTGTATTGGCATATGTATTAGGAAGACCTGTTAGAGGGTGCGCCTTTAGATTCATAGAGTCAGAAGAGACCTCAGTGGGCCATCTAGTCTGACCCGCTGTCCCTGGCAGGCAAGATGTTTCTCTCAAAATTGTCACAAGTTACTTGTCATTAAGCCATGAGAATCTAAGACAAATTCCACATCTCCAAATAGTCAGGAGAACACTGTTCTTGTACCTATGTTATATATAAGGCTCAAGAGTTTTTTCTAATTCCCTCCCCCTTTCCTCCCCAGTATGGCATCCTGGCCTCCCAAAATACGAAGTGCCCACAGAGAAATATTTGCCTGTATCCTGCAATTGCCATGGACTTGGTGTTATCAATTATTAGCTCATGTCTGAATGACAAACTAAAAAAACAAAACAAAACAAAAAAATGACCACATATGAATTATTCCTTGGATTTTTAATCAATCCTTCAAATAATAGTATCAGTGATACTGAATCTGTCAAAAGTTTTTAATGGTTTATAAACTGTGCAGTTTTTCTACATCCCATTTTTCCTTTAAGCAGATCATAAAATATTTGTTTATCTGGCCTCAAGCAAATTTGTCCTTATTGGCAAAAGTGCTTCTTTTACCCTTATAAATATCTCCTAAACAAATATTAACATTTGTGTTATGGCTTAGCCAAGGAATGCTCAGTTTCTGAACTGATTTTTCTATCTTGTAATGCTCGTCTTCCCTTCATTTTGTGTGTTGTCTGTAAAGCTTTCCTGGCTTAAAATAACTTTTCCCAATGCCTATCAATTTTGATACAAATATAGCCCTCAAAAGTGCAGTATTTCAGTGTCTCCCATTGATTGATTAATGGTTTTTTATCTTCACATTTCCACTCTGACATAAAATAAGAAACTGATGCACAAATCAGATTGTCTCAGTGTTGCATAATCTCTGGTTAAGTTAGGAGCTGAATACAGACTGCTTGCATCCCAGTCTGATACTTAGCTCATCCTTTCTATCCTACAGTTCATTGTACAAAGAACTTTGGGCCTCTGTGCATGCCACAAAATTGGCCTTTAAAGCAGCTTAAATGCCCTTTTGCACCACTTTAATGGCATTGCTGTTTGCACTCTCGGCAGCGTATTCCACTTTAAATGACTTGGGTACGTAGCAGGATGAAACACCGCTGAGGTGTTTTAGTTTGCTACCTAGCAAAGTGCAACAGTGCACAGGGCACTGGAAGCCAACCTGCTTGGGGCTTGGCCAGCCCCATGCAACTCAGGGACTGTGGGGCCCAGCAGCAGCCCATGCAGGCAGGCTCCACTGAAAGGGGGAAAAAAATAAGTAGAGCGGTGATCTTGATCTTTTTTTTTCCCCCTCTCCCTGGAGCCTGCCTGCCTGCTTGAGCTGTGCAGGGGCCTGGCACTTCCCTTCATGGCTTGCAGTGCTTCCCTCCGTGTCTGTGGCATCCCCTGGGACTGCCCAGGCCAGGTGCCAGCAAGTGGGTACCATCTACCCCCCCCAGCTCAGGGACCACTCAGTCCGCTGACACCTTGCCCCCACCACCAAAGAGGCAGGTAAGGAGTGGGCCCCCCACCCTTGTGTGCATGCCGCAAGGGGTTAGCTCAGTTTAATTCTCCCTAAAGTGAAGCGGTGTTTTTAACATCTCCCCCCCCCATTTCAATTTAGGGAGAACTAAACCAAATTAAACCCCCCCGTGGTATGTACAAGCAGCCTTTAAGGCTAATTCAGAGTCCTAGGCAGCTACTCATCAGTGCTTCCTTAGGATCTAAATCCTGAAAACCTTTATGCTAAAACTGACACCCTGTCTTAGCACTAATTACTATACGCTAAGTTAATAGTGTACTCTGCAGTTGTTATAGAAAGCTAGAATGTAGATATGAGGTTTAAGAGGTGTTTTTCCTCATCAGCTGTATGCCTAGTGGGAAGGGGTATTGGCCTAAATTGCTAACCCCCCACCCTCCCTTTTGTTTTAATTCAGATAATGTAAATATCTGTAGCCTCCAGTGCATTCTTTGTAAGGCAGTGGTTTCCAGTCCTTTCTGGCTGATATGCAACAGTACTTAAGCAAGTAAATTGGTGACAACCAGTATCAGACTTTGCTCTCTCTGTTGGTATGAAGAAACATGTATATATGGAAAGTAACATTTCCTGTGATCATGAGTAACATTGAAGAGTCCACACCACCAAGTTGAGGACCACTTATATAAGCATAATACAGACAATTTATCACTCCCCCTCCCCTGCCAGGAAGTCTAACCAAAATAATTAACTAAAGAACCTTTTGCAAAAAAAATTAGTCTCTCTTAATACAGGCTAATTTTGTGTATTACTGATTATTCCAGAGAAATAAAAATGTAATCTCAAGGTATGGCATTTTAGAAGCAGAGCTAATTGCTAGTTCTCATATCATTAGAGGTTTTATTCAACCTAATACCACTTCTTTTGTTTGCTTATTTTTAATCAGGACTACCAAACCTGGCTGGATTTAAGAGAACTTGAATGTAAAATAGGGGAACGTTACATCACCCATGAAAGTGACGATTCACGGTGGGAACAGTATGCAGGGGAGCATGGCTTGCAGTATCCAGCACACCTTATCACGCCTAGCACGAACCACAATGAAAACACTGAGCCAGAGGAAACAGAGATGAAAGCCCTCAGTGAGCGTGTCAGCATCCTTTAAATTGCATCCCCTATAATCTGTCAAAACACTGTGGAATTAATAAATACATACGGTCAGGTTTAACATTTGCCTTGCAGAACTGCCATTATTTTCCATCAGATGGGAACAAAGCTGTTATACTGTTACCACTGTTGATGCATCTGAGTTGCCAAGACAAATCAACAGAAGCATTTTTATTTTGTGTGACCAACTGTGTTGTATTAACAAAAGTTCCTAGAAACACTAAACTTGTTATTGTGAATGATTCATGTTGTATTTAATGCATTAAAACCTGTCTCCACTGTGCCTTTGCAAACTAGTGTTTTTCTTATTTCAGCCTCATTTTGGTAAGAGAGAACCTTTCCATAAAGATCTCGTGTGTGCACCATTAGTATTGTAAATGTAAGCAAACTCTTGAAGAGTAGATTATTTACTGCTGTTCTGTGAACAACTTCTATTATTTGGATCAAGGTTATTTGATGTAGAAAAAATGCCAAGATTAAAAAAAAAAAAAAAAATACAAAAAAGCATGAAAATAGGAAATTCTATAATACTGTACAGTTCCAAATAAGATGCCCAGTCTGTGTGTA